GATTCCAAAATACTGCATAAAAATATTTGGCTAAACCAGTCATGAGACGCAAGTGTGATGCCGTGGCAGTTCACGAAGAGGGCAAGAGTCTCAGGGAAGAGATATCTTAGTTCAGTTACTCGAACTTTCTCCCTGAGCTCAGTGAAATAAATGGCCTGCCTTTTAAAATCTCCTACACATGTGTGCTGGTGGACACGTTCATTGACAGATGGTCTTGGTGTTGTATGGACAAAGGATCCAACTTTAGGAAGTGATTTTTTTTTTGCATTCCAGAAAAGAATAGACAAATATGAATCAGGGTTGTCTTGCAGCACCCACCACTGCAAAAATCACACAAAGAAGTGGAAAGGGAGGGAGGGAGACTGCTGGGTTCACTCTGGCTTCTCCCAGAAAGCGTCTTCAGTGCAAATGAAGTGCAAGAGAGAGGAACGACTCGGCTTGTTTTCAGACTTTGACGAAGCAACAGAACAGAGGAAAAACCTTTTTTATTTAAAGAACAACATATTAAACATTTTTCTCCAGTTCCATGAAAGGCTAGAGTAGCGATTACAGGATATCCAAGGATAGGCCTAGAAAGATTTGTAGAATTGTCTGGTATTTTACTAATGATGCCACAAAATTCTGAGACATTCTGTCTGGGAGAAGTGTCAGCAAAAGAAATGGCAGTAAATTACTCCAGTTCTTTCTTCACAGGCCCCAACTTCTCACTACTCGACCTCTACCAATTAGGCCACCTGGTTAGCATGAAACAGTGGCCCCCTGTCACTCCCCTACCATGTCTAATGAGCCGTTTGAGTCCTTGCCAATGCATATATGCTGCTTCGACAAATAGAATTTTTCTAGGTTTTTATTTCTGATACACTCACATTTCTGATCTATGAACATTCATGTTCATAGTTAAATTAGTAACCTAGATTTCAGTGTTTGTAAGTATTTGTTATTTAAATAATAATAAATAAATAATAATAAGTGAATAAATAATAAGCACCACAAAATATTTTCAGTATAGATACGATTCCATTAGAACTCGGGTTTTAGAGTCATAGTGAGGCAGGCTTGAATCAGTACTTTGTCACTTAATAGTATATGTTCCGAGAAAATTGAATTAAATAAGGGTACATGCTCAAAGACAAACACAAAGAACAAATAAAACGCCCACCAATGGTAATTAATGATAGTGAGATTTGGTATCAACTCCTAGCAAAATCAAGAACAATCTATGAAATGATATAATTTTACGCCATTTTCATATACTGTGGGGACTTCCAGGAGAAAAGGTTTCCACAACAAAAGCCTGTAGAGCATTCACTTGGTGTGAAAGTATTTCTGCTCAGTGGGACAAGCCGGGAGTGTCAGTTGGGAGAAGAGCAAAACCTAGGTTTTGGACCCACACACTCGCTCTAGACTCTGCACCTTTCAACTTGACCTAAACCCTGGGATAGAAGGTAGAGGTAGGGTTCTAGGAAGCAGAGCAGGAGGGGCACTGTGGACACAGACCTCATGTTAAGCAGAAATCCTCTGTGAAGGTGTGTGTAGGACAGAGAGAGAGGAGCAAAGGGAAAGACTAGAAACAGACATCTTCTGTACTGCCGTAGCAGTGGCCCAGACAAGGAGCCAAGGGAATCTGAGATAGAAACGGAAGAATGGGGTCAGATCTGAGGACATACATGGTTGTGGGCAAAGGACACTCAGCCATGACTTTGGAGTTGTTGACTGCAGAGCCCAGAGCATGGTTGCTCTCTTAACTTGTTTTGGGCTGCTAGAACAGAGCATCATGGGTAATTTATAAAGAGGAGGAATTTATTTGGCTCATGTTTCTGAATGCTGGATGTCCAGGAGCACCACAGCCACACTCCTCAGCATCCGGTGAGGGCTTTCTGCGGCCTCGTCCCATTGTGGAAGGTGAAGGAACCCGAGAACGTGCAAGAGTGAGAGGGGCCAGCTCGCCTCAATTTATACTTTCCAATATTTATGTATTTATTTTTGTTTTTTTTTTTTGAGACAGAGTAGCTGTAGCCCAGGTTGACCTCAAACAAACTACTTATGTACCTTGACTTTCTGAGCTTCCTGCTCTCACTATCAAGAGCCAGTTCCTTCAATAACCAGCCTCTTCCTGCAATCACTAGCCAACTCCCACAGTACGTAAAGGAATTAATCCATTCCCGAGGGCTCTGTCCTCATGATCTAATCACATGGGACGTGGCTCAATCTCTAGCATTGCTGTATTGAGGATTCAGGTCTATATTAGTTGATGAACGTGAACTTGAGGAGGATGTATTAAAGCCATGGAAGGTACTATTGATCATGATGGAGGGGTCAGTAGTTGAGGCTCTTGTCTTGATGAGGTAATCTGCTATGCTGGGACATCCTGGCTCTTGATTTCTTTCTTTCATTTCTCCCAAATTCACTTATTCCATCATCAGAAACCCCACATGAGCATGAGGAGTGTGTCTGGCAATCGTGTGCTAAGCCCTGTAATACCAGGGGAATAGGAAGTTCCATCCCGTCCTTGTCCTTAACCGGGTTGGGAGAAGGTGACAAATGACAGGCAATTACAATACAAGGTGAGCAGTGTTAAAATTGAGGCTCACCAAGGACACCAAAGAAGCCTAGAGGAGGGGCATCTAACCAGACTGAGGGCCGGGGTAGAGAAATGAGGTAATGTCTCAGTTGAGTCATGAAAGATGGGCAGGGTGAGCCAGGCAAGAGTAGCGAGAAGGACATTTCATGGAGAGGAGCAGCAGGTTCAAAGGCCCAGAGGCAAGGAATTGAATGGCATAAAGTGTGATCGCTGCCAAGTTGTTAGGTATGACCGGAATGTAGAATGCCAGGAGGAGCGATGGCATGGAGGATGTTAGGAGGATGAACGGGGGGAACACACATAGGCTGTGCTAAGGGGATTTTAAAATGCAAAGTGATAGGATCCGATTTGAGGATTAGGAAGGTAACTTTAGCATAGCAGTATGGGTGTACAGTCAGTACTTGTGGTAGACAGCATCAGCCTATTGTCTTCATTGTGAGGGCTTAGATCTAAATGACTATTGGGATAAAAATAACATAGACAGAGTCCAGTGGGATGAAGAAGGTGTCATCAGCTACCCTGATCACTGACTGGGTGATGGAGAGGGAGGGGGACGGAGATGTCAGTGTCAAGCTGAAGCATCTAATGATATTGTGAATACAAATAGAATGTGCGTGGCCCCAGCTCTCAAGCAGTTCAACGGTTTACGACCTGGAGGAGCAGTAACAGTTCGCCGTGCAAGTTGGTTGTCCCTTGTTCAAATGCTTCGGATCAGAGCTTCAGATTTAAAATATTTTTTGGTCTCTCTCTCTCTCTCTCTCTCTCTCTCTCTCTCTCTCTCTCTCTCTCTGTGTGTGTNGTGTGTGTGTGTGTGTGTGTGTGTGAGAGAGAGAGAGAGAGAGAGAGAGAGAGAGAGAGAGGAGAGAGAGAGAGAGGAGATAAGGTTGAGATAGGACCCAACTGTAAACACAAATCACTCATGTCCCATCTATTCCTAATCTCACAGTTTGAAGATAATTTCAGGCAATTTTCTTAGTTCACAAGTGGTTTTGTCTGTCTTGTCCCATGAAGTCAAATATATAGCTTTTGACTTTTGATGCCATGTTCGTGTTAGAAAAAAAATCTTTGGTTTTTGTCATTTTGGATGAGAAATGTTCAAGCTATGTGTATATAAGGACCAAATTAGTAGCAAAATATTCAGTAGGTGTGATCACCAGGTTTAGGTGGTCCAGAAAGGTGTGAAGGAAAGAACTGGAACCCTGAAGTGAATGACGAACCTAAGTAAGCAGAGGAGAGTCATCGCAGATCCCGGACAGTGGGTACCACAACCTGCTTCTTGAGCATGACCTCCGTCCCAACTACAGTACGGTACACACACGATCCTAATGCTATGACCATACAAGGCAGTACAAGTCCATTGCTGAAGAAGCTGGGATTCAGCAAGTTAAGTGTGAATAGCACAGATAGAGAAGGGTGGGGAAATCAGGGTTCAGCCAGAACAGGTTGGCTCCAAGCGGGCCTTCCCACAGCATTAACTACAGCTGCATCTCCCTCCCACTTAGCACTGTGGAGACGCCTCGTCCAGGAGCCGAGGGAGCAAATCTTCTTCAGTGGGCTTTCCACTCAGTGTTTCTGTGAGGAAGTTCACACGTGCATCCATTGTTAGTTCCAGCAGTTCTCAGGGAGCAGGGAGCAGGCAGCATCAGCATCACTATCAGCATCATTTAGGAACTTGTCAGAACTGCAACAAATTCTTAGCCATTCCTCACGCAGGACTCCAGAATCAGGCACTCTGGGAATCAAGCCCATAATTTACCTTTAGAAAGCTTTCCGGGTGATTCCATCCATTAAAAAAAAATTGAGAACCAACATTCCCATCCTTTATTCTATGGGCACAAATAAAAACTCAAGTTTGCCGTGTGGCTGGCCCCTCAAAATGGCAATCTGCAAATCATGCCAAAAAGCATCCCTGAGAAGTCCCTTTGTGAGCCGCAGCAGCCCGAGGGCAGCAGGTGCTGTTAAGCTCCGGTTCTGGGTGCCTGTGGATTCTAGTGAAGATTAACCCTCCAGACTTGAGAAATACGTTGTGATGTTTGGCTTTGTGCAAATTTTGTAACTGGGTCAAAACCTAGATAGAGCAAACCGTCTTTGTCCCAAGCAAGTACCCAGAGATCCCAAGATAGAAACCTTACAGAAATGGTCCAGTTCGGTGGTTCTGAACCTTCCTAACACTGAGACCCTTCAGTACAGTTCCTCATGTAGTGGTGCCCCCAACCACAAAACTATTCCGTCGCTACTTCATAACTGTAATGTTGATATTGTTACGAATAATAATGTAAATATCTGATATGCAGGGTATTTGATTTGTGACTCTGGGGAGGAGGAGGGTGCGTCCGACCCCAGAGGTTTAAAACCACTGGTCTAGAGTGTCCAAGGAGAGCTCCTAATTTTTCCACTTTTCTTGTTTGATTATTGACAGGAGGAAGTGATTGGAGATTTGAAGCCAGGCACCACATATCGAATAAGCATAGCTGCTTACAGCCAGGCTGGCAAAGGGAAGGTTAGCTATCCTCGGATTGTGACCACTTTGTCTCAAGGTAAAATTCGGCTGAAATCAACTAGTGATGGGAAAGCACACAGACAGAAGTGTTGGAAAATAAGTGGCAGCAACGATGGGTATTCAGTTTCCTTGGGGTTAAGTACCAATTACAACATGGAAGCAGATGAGCCACTGATAGGAGATGGGGTGTGGCAAATGATTTTCAGGGGTACACATCGTGGGTCACAGAGACATCAGAGCCCCTGAGCTGTTTGTTTGCCAGTCAGAGGTTCTGGGAGGAGGGAGGCAATAGTAAAAGAAATAGTAAAAGTTATCAGGGCTTTTTAGTGTTTGGCTTGTGTTTTGATGCCATACCAAGTAAATATGTTTCAGTAGTAGCATGGGCGCCTCTTTTTGATGTAGCCAACCTCTCCATCGCTGGCCAAGTCTAGGTGTGTCTGTCATCCTGTCTAGATTTCTGCCTGCCTCCTGAAGCACCCCATAAGCCACACGTCCTTGTGGTTTCTGATTCCGAGGTGGCTCTCTCTTGGAAACCCAGAGACGATGAAGAAACTGCCCCAATTCAGTCCTACTCTGTGGAGTACATCAGGTAAGTCATAGGGCGAGTCACAGACCACAGCTGCAGCACAGTTACTCCCTATGTGGTGTTAATCAGGGTGTGGGATCTTCACTGGATTTCAGCCAATGTGTGTTTAAGGTGGTCCAAAGTCATCGTGGACCATGATAGCCATTAGGCCAGCACTTATCCCTGAATATCTTTGATGAGTAGTCATTGGTGACACCATCTCCTCTACTTCTTCTCTAACCACGGTTCGGAGTTCTGAAAGTTCTTTCTGTACTGTTACCAATAAGCTGGCCAACATTTCAGGCTTGAAACTTGCCCTTCTGACTCTAAAGTACTGTATTTGTATTAAATATTTGATGGCTTTTCTCAGAAGGAGAGGGAAGAACTCTTTATATACAAGCACCATGCACTGTGCCTCCCAGATCCATATTTCTTTGGGGCAAGTTTCTGAGTTGGACTTCAGCTTTCTTCCCTTCTACCTACATCTTAAGTTCTTGTTCCTCAGTTTGATAAACTGTAGAAATTCATGTAAAACTCGTGATTGTCCATGCCTTTGTGCAGCTTGCTTTCTTTCTTTAAAGAAGAAAAGTTGAACAAAAGGAATCCCCAATGCAAGGTCTTCAGCCTGAATTTGGGTCTCCATCTGACTCTGGGTAGAAGCTGAGTGAATGAAGTCGGTCTGCCTTACATTAAAGATGAGGGGCTCCTCTGAGGGCTCGATGTTGTGGATTCATAAAGAGCCTCGGCAGGACCTTGCTCCTCAGGCTTTCTGAACCCGAGCCAAAGGGTCCTGTCAAGATTTGATGAGTTGTTTTTCTGTCCTGACCTCCCGGTTTATTCCTGGGCTGTGGGAAACAGACATTTATGTCTTCGAATCTTGTTTTCAGGCAGGACTTGCTGAATGAATTCCAAGTGGCAGAAGCAATAACATATCAGCTTCTGTGACTAGAAAGTCCAGTGGCAAGGCTGAAGTCAGGGAGCACTAGATCCATGCCAGCTCAGCAGTCTGTGCCCATACATTGCTCTCCTCCATTGATTGACTTTCCAGCAGACTTTCCCATACCCTTAAGTTTTGTGGTCTTCAAGCTTAGCAAGAGAGTATGGATTTCTTCTTGGATCCAGAAGAATTTTGATATGTATTCTGACTAGCCAAGTCTCAGTCCTTTTCCATTTTCCTAGCTCATCACAGTAGCCAGAGTAGAGAGAATTTATGAACTAATCAAGCCCCAGTCATATTGTAAGCTCTGAAAGAACCATAGGTGTGGGGGGGGTGGGCTGACATGGAGTGTGTGGGCTGAATGTTCAAGAGGTGGTTATCCTCAAAGGGAAACAACTCTTGGGAAGTACAAATGGATGATAGGAAAACCTGGAAGGAAAAAAGAGGAAGGAAATAAAATACAAGAGGAAATGAGTAGGGAATGAAGGGAATGCGAAAGAAACAAGGGAAAAGGGAATGAAGGTGGAGAAGAAAGAAGGGAGGAAGAAAGGGAGGAGGAGGGACACTGTGCAAAGATCAGACCCAGACTCCTCCCTGAAGGTAGCACATAATGCTTCTCTCAGCATACCTGGTAGGCAAAGGCTGGTGTGTGCCTAGACTAGAGATGATTCTAATCCTGGTTCTAATGCGAGTTAAATGAGCAATACTTGAGGTTCTCAGACGCCAGTTTTCTCATTTCAAAAGCCTGGGGGGTCTTTAACGCGTGATTTAGTCCCACAAATAAATTAGACAACACCAACAGAACAAAATGTAGTACTTTAAATTTTGAGAAAGGCAATTTTTTTTTTATCATCGGCTTGCAGATCATCTGCTCAACCCCCTGCAGGAGGGTGGATCTCGTTGACTGCTAGTTTTGTGCTCAAATATACATTTTCTTCAGCTCAGTCTATGTCTGATATGTTGATTTAAAAAAAAATGAAATAACAGTGTCCTAGCCTTGCATGCACACTGGAAGTGGAAAATGAAAGTATGTGTCTTCAGAGCCAGAAGCCTCAGGAGCAAATGCTACTCCCTCAACTCTCCAGTGTGCATATGGCCCTAGACATGCCCCTTCCATTCAACACCTCTCATAGCTTTCAGTGCCCGCAAAGCACAGTTTGAGACAAGTATCTGGGCACATGAAATTGGCTCTGAAGCCAGAATGAGAGCAGAGACTGTGATACAGGGAGAGGAGAACTATAAGAGTGTGTCACTGAAGGTAACGGCACCTTTCTTGGAACCCTGACTCTTCCACAATATTGCGTGTTCTATAAGTGCTGGAGTAGATTTGAACACTGGTAGCCATTGGGTTAAGTCACTAGCTGTAACCTCAACCAAGCTGGGTCACCCTGTGAGTCTGACTTTCTTTAGCCAGAAGATACAGATGTTCAGAGAAGGAAAAGACAAAAGATATCTCTCAGCACTTAGAAGAGGGCCCCACCAAGGACTTTTTATGTTTTTACCCTGAGCCACTTAGAAATGATCGCAATACCAGCCATCTGTGTTTAAGGAGATAATGTAAAAACCCTTAGAGAAATGTGGCTAAAGGAATCTTGTGTCGCTAGTGTCAGATGCCACTATGGCAGCCAACATACTCCCTCACCAGCTGCAGATATAAAAGCCAGAAAGGCCCGACTTGGATCTGCATATACTCATCCTACCCATGGCCTGGCCCCTCAGGCTACTTTGAAAGGTCTTTGCTGCTGTTGTTTTCTAACCACACAGTGCTGAGAAGGAGCCTGCGAGATGGCTCGGCTGGCAAAGGAGCTTGGTGCCGACCCTGAGTCCAAAACCCTCATGAGGGAAGGGACAGACTGACTCTAGAATGTTATCCTCTGACTTCCACATGTGCATGCTCATGTGCACACATACAAGCCTTCGTGTGTGCACGCTACACACATACACACATAAGCTCACTCTAAAAATGTAAAAATAAACACATTAAGGCTATCAATGCAGTATGCATGGTGGAGCTTCGAGTCATCTCAGTATTTGTGATTCACTTGAAGGCTCTGACTGCAGCTTCATCCCAGACCCCAGATGGAGTGAACCCTGAGATTTAACAGTCTTCTTAAATAGGTGACCCAGCAGTTTTCTTCCCGGAACTTTACTCATGACAAGAATTCACAGCAATAACCAGATGAATGACTGTAATATTTAAGAGGAATGAGGCCTGTGTTGGTTTTTCTGGTCCTCAAATGTTAGCATTGAAAACATTTGAGATTTCTTTTATTCTCTGTTGCTTTGTTGCTCTTGTCAGCTGAGAAAGTCCCTCTGTTTCTGAACTACAGCACTAATGCTAATGCCACCAATTTAGAGAGAGTGGAAAAGACTAAAACACCACCGCCACCACCCCAAAAGTATTTAGGAAGTTAAGGTGCTCTAGTATCAGATGCCTCGAGAAAAGAACCAAATGAGCAAAAAGAAGCCTGGCTGGTTTGGAAGTTAGGTGAGGCTCAAGTTAACAAATGATGCAGGGATTCCTTTTATTACTTTACTTTTAAATCTCAAAATCTCAGAAGCACCTTGCAGACTAGCACAAGGTCCTAGAAATTCTGCTAGCCATTAAGGCCTCAGACTTAGACGGAAGGGCTAAATATTTTTGCAGAATTAAGACCCTGGGTTCTACAGGTCCATCCCTTCAGACTTCAGTTCTTCCTTCTGTGCTGGTTCCTAGTAAAATCCTGATCGGGGTGGTGGGAGCTGATATAAACTGAATTGGCTAGTCTGTGGAGTCACTGGCAGTGGAACCAGGATTTGTCCCTAGTGCTTGAACTGGCATCTAGGAGCACATTCTCTTTGGAGTGATACCTTGCTCAGCCTAGATATAGGGGGGAGGATCTTGAGCTCATCTTGAAGTGAAGTGTCAGACTTATTGACTCCCCATGAGAAAGAAGCCTTACCCTTTCTGAGGAGTGGATGGGAAGTGAGGGGAAGGTGGGAGAAGCAGGGAGAGGGAGTATGGGGATAGCCATGTAAAATGAGAAAAGATTGTATTAAAAAAATTCTTAATAAAAAGGAAAAATAAATTAAATTCTGATGTAGCAGCTTTGGGAGACATTTGTTAGCTGCAAATGCAAAAGCCTGCTCTCCTATGGCCCACCTAGGACAAACCGCCAGTCAGGTGTATCACTGCCCTATTCCATCGGCCTGTCATTTGATTAGTTGAGACCAATATGTAAACAAAGAGCAACTGAGAGAACTGAAGGTCAAGCAGATTTTTTTTTTATGTGATGACTTAATGGTTTGGACTTCACATCACAGTTCATTTTCGTGGGGAGCAAAATTTGCATAAAACTCCCTGTAAGATTGACGGTGGAAGCTCCATGGAGTATGTGGGGCTTTCTCTCACTCCTGGTTTGTTGGTCACGGATGATCTATGGGATTGTGTGTCCTCCCTTAGAGCCAATTGCTTATCTTGCAGTCTGCAGGTCCCCAAAACGGCCCCTTAGATAGAATTCAAGGGTCTCTGTTCTTGGCTGGAAGATAACTATGTTCTTCCTTTTGACTTATGGAACTCATCACTGTCTTCATAAATCAGTGATGATTCAAACCACAGAGGCAAAAACAGTTCCTGGGACTTCCGTCAGCATCAGATTGGGCTTTTCTTATCCCATTACAATTGTTGCACATAGCCGGGCGATGGTGGCGCACGCCTTTAATCCCAGCACTCAGGAGGCAGAGGCAGGCGGATCTCTGTGAGTTCGAGACCAGCCTGGTCTACAGAGCTAGTTCCAGGACAGGCTCCAAACCCACAGAGAAAAAACAATTGTTACACAGATCTCAAAATAGCATCTGTGTTTATCATTACACTGAATACACTGAAATTATTACAGTGACTGATGTTCATTGCTGGGTTCTCTTATTTAACATTTTAATAATATAGTACATATGAAAATATTATGCTTATTACTTAGATTATTGCTGTTAACCTATTGGTTGCAGTCTTATGTTTAAAATTTTGCACATGAAACCATTCTAAGAAGGGGTACATGGGCTTTGTCAGACAGTCACAGTGGCATTAGAAGGTTAAAGACTGCAATTATAG